TTCCTACCTTTTGTTAAAATGTATTTATACAAGCCGTTCCTCGTCCATTGTAGGCTAATATAAATGGTAGAGTGCTGTCTCAGTGCAACATTGATGAGCTGAAGAAAGAGATGGAGATGAACTTCGGCGATTGGCAGCTCTTCAGGGGAACGGTGAGACTACATCTTCCTCTACTTACCTCACAGCCCGCTTTAATATTTTTGCGGTTTGCCGCTTCATGATAAAGTGTTTTTTTTGTTGTTGTTTTTTTGTTTCACAAGTATATGTAATCAGCCCTGCCAGCGCCCTCCTGTTGATATCTTTCAGCTCTTGATTTGTCCAAAAAGAAAGCAAGACAACATCTCATAAATACGACACCTTGTGCTCCTAAAATATTGGAGATTTCATAATCCGTATTAAGAGAAAGGTGCTCTTCGGTCAGTCTGGAGTGTAGTCGTCTGAGCCGGCCTGGAATCACTTACACATGTAGCCGGGTTCACTTCATCAGATGTCCGCCTGTGCTCCTAATACCAAACCAAAGCCCTGGATTGGTCGTGTTTTTAACGGAGATCCAATAAAGAGCTCACGCAGGGGCAGCTGGAAAGTGCAGTGGCCTTAAAGCTGCGCACACCATCCAGTTCTGTGTTGCCAGGTTGCAGCCAGCACGGACATCTGGTTCAAGATGGCTGACCGATACCTGGATGAAGGGAGGTTCTGTCAGGGAGGAGGGGACAATGCCGGTTGTTGTTGTTGTTGTTGGTAATGTGTTTTTCGCCCGGTAACGATTGTCCCGATGCCGTTTTGATCGAAAAAAGATCATTTGAAATGTCTTTCCCCAGGTGCTGGAACTGCGTCACTCTGAAACCCAGGCCCTGCTTCAAGACGAGTGCCGAGCTGCTAGCGAACAGGACAGCAGCTCGCACAACGGGGAGCCCAGCAGACGCTCAGGGGGGGCCCAGCATGAAGCGGCAGCCTTCAGCCTGAATCTCAGCTTCGAGGAGCTCAGCGGAGCGGGGCTGGAGGAACCTCAGCGGCACAGCCACAACTCCCACTGGCCGGTCAGTCTTCCTGTCAGGAGCTCAGCGTAAATGTTCCACAACAGCTGATACGACCAAACAGTCGTGAACTGTGCGTATGCACACGATGCAAACCCACATAAACATGCAAAGACATTAAGGGCCTTGACAGCGTGTGAGTGTGTAACACACACGCATGCTCCAAACTGTCACATGACCACAGGGGCTGCTGCATTGAGCCTCTGGTTGGGTGAGCTCACTAGTTTCACATTAATGTGGTTGCGTGTGAGAAAATAGCTCGACAGAGAGAGCGTATGTTGCTTTTGAACATGGCAGAGTTAAAAATGCACACACACACACACACACACACACACACACTGTAGAACACCAAAAGGTGTCGAGGGGCCCCCCGTTTTATATTTCACCTTCCTTATTCCAAATTTGCTAAATGTCTGAGCAAACACTTGCATGTAGGCAGCTGGCTTTGCTGCTATTTTATGATCTCACTTTGTGATCTTTTTCAGATTCGCATCATCCAAAACTGAACACACACACACACACACACACACACACACACACACACACACACATACAGCTTTCTTTGCCAGTCCGCCTGCAGACCTTTGCCAAAACTTTTTCGCTGAATCTCATTCTCGTGTTCTGAATATTTCATTGGTTACTAATGTGATTATGAGCATTGTATGTGTAGCATTTCTCTATTAATGATAATCAGGAGTGAACTCTGCAGTCTCTATCTTCATGTACTTTAACGTACTGTAAGTATATTCATCAACAAACTGACGTGGCTGTTTTCATACCTTTTCTTTTTTGTCAGGCGACTAACCTCCGCACCTTAAGCATGTCCAGCCTCAACTCTCAGGAATCCTCCAATGATATCTGCAAGCTGACGGACAAGCAGCAGGCCGAGTACCACGATGCCTACAAGGAGTACATCGCTCAGATGGCGCAGGTGGAGATGTCCGGCGGCGGCGGCAGAGAGAGGCCCGTGCAGCCCCACCCGGGACAATTTCTTCAAGCTGCCAGCTCAGAGGACAAAGGGGTGGGTGGACAGTCACAAGTACACTGTTGAGTTCCAGCCATTGCATCACTGAGAGCATAAATTGACAAGAAGCTCCCCCGGTCTGATCACAGTGCGGTGACTATTGTCATTAAATAGTGTAGACAGTATGAGCCTGTATGTTGTTGTCTGGCCTGTGCAACAGCAAATGTCTTATTCTGAGCTGGGAAAGGAGAGAGCTCTGCTTCTTGCATTTCTTAATGATTTGCATATAGTCTTTGTTTCTCTTGGCACGTAAGGGAAGGACAGGAAAGGCCTCTTGGCCAATAGAGCAAGATGCTATACATATTCATGTTCCTGTCATTGATCTTCTTCCCTCTCTTCAGGCCAAGGAAGGAGCTGACCAAGACAGCCGCAAATCCTTCACCAAGAGAGGCTCCAAGCCTAGTGATGTCGCAGACTTCCCTTCCGGGGCCGATGCCCAGCCTCTAGACCCCATCAGTGAAGAGGATGAGAAGCTTGACCACAGCACATTGTCCAGGAATTCCGGCTCCAGGAAGAAGGTAGGCGGGTCGTTGTACCACAAGCTGCCCAACGACGAGGACTCCAGCCCCGAGGAGGCCGACAACACCACACCTCTCCTCCGCAAAGAGAGTACAGCTGGTTCCCTGCGCTCCCACAGCGGCTCCCAGCCCACTGGCCTCCTGCCCAAGCCTGGCCTCCTCACCGAAATCCTCCTGGATAAGAAGGACTCGTCTGACTCAGGGATGCGCTCCAGTGACAGCTCCTCCGACCGCTCCCTCGAGGAGGCTGAAGGGGACGCCGACGGAGAGAGGGAGCCACTGAAGCCCAGCCTGATTGAACTGGAGCTGGAGGGTCTGGTGAAGAAGCGAGGCCTCCTCCCCAGCAGCCTGCAGGACGCGGCGGTGGCGCGCATGTCCATCTGCTCTGAGGCGGCGTCCGAGGCCAGCCTCATGGCCAGCAGCCCCGACGAGGGCTGGCCGTCTCACGGGGTCGGCAACCTCAACTGCACCACCAGCACCTTCAACGACAACGCAAACAGCACCACCGACAACAGCCCCCTGCCGCCGGTTAACCTCGCAGGCATGGACTCCTCCACAACCACCACCTTCAACCCCTCGCCAGCTGTCATCATCACCCCCGGCAGCAGCAGCACTGCCAACACCACCACTGCAGCCATCCACAACCAGAACCTGCGCACCATCAGCCTGGGAGATGAGACGGAGAGCGTCCTCTGATGAGACGCTTGTTCTTGATGATTTCGATGTCGTAGTGTTGGTGTTGTGACTCGTTCCGAAGAATTAGTGTTTGTGTTGTACTCAGGAATAGTGTAGCTGTGAATCAAGAGTAGATCATTCGAAGGCTTTACTTAGTGAAGAAAAATAACTTTATTTAAACAATGAATAATAGACAAGTGAATCGGTACAATTGGTTAGTTAATGGTACCAAAAATACATGGGATTGCTTTCAACTGTCCCATGCGTTTGGATCATTTTAGTGTGATGTCATTGTGGAAATATTAAATGTTGTGCAGGCAGTTGTGACCAGAGGAGCTGGTTGTTGCCGTTGACTTTTTTTTTTTCCTCCCGGTGCTGAGAATATTTCAATAGATGTCAGTATATAGACAGTTGTGCACTGTGTTGTTGGCAACGTCTGTGATAGAAGAAGTGCATGCTCTAGTCTCCCCGGAGTGCTGATGTATTTTCAATGGGTCCTTCTGAAAAGGCATTCACTTCAATAAACAATTTTGCTATGTGGCCCCTTGAAACGAGTCTGTTTTTTTTTTTTCCTGTTCTTCATGCAGGGAGATCTCTTAGAGGAGCCTCAGTGGACTTGGGGTTCAGCTAGTGAATACACCGGCATACTTAAACCGAGAGTCCTCTTTACCGATTTAATCTTTTACCAAATGCGGTTTGGAAGAACGGAGCGAGGGGGCGTCGCTGCCTGCGCGTCTCCTCGCCGATAGATGGCGCACTGTGCATACAAACCTGCTGCAGGCCGGCCGCTCGCTCTTCAATACCACTGAGGGGTAAACTGAAACTCGGTGACTACACGAGGATTTCAACTAACTTAAAAGTTGCATGATGAAAATGAATTCCTTTACAAAGAGCGAGTATTGAAGAAAGATCTCAAGTCCTCCCTCGGGGGGCAATTATCCAACAACTTGGTCGGCTCTGTGGTGTGAAAATACGCGAGAGGCCATGCTGTATTTCAGGAAGGAGATGATTGACAGTCGGGGTTTTACTACAGTGTTATAACATCCAAACCTTTTGATTCAACCTTTAAAATACAGCGCGCACGAGCGCTGCCGAAATGCAACCTTCGGACATTCGATCGCCCCAATGAATGATCCAACCGATGCTTCGATCACACACCTGGTTCAACCAAAAGGGTCATCAGCTTCAAACACAGGCCCGTCTGAAGCAACGTGTAGGAAGCGGAGGAACTACGTCTGATAAATGTGGAACCTGTAACGCATCAACGGCCTAGTTTCCCCCCCAGAGTTAAATTTCTATAATTTGTTTTGTTTGGGAAAAAAAAAGGCCTTGTGCCCCATTAGTATAATGTTTCCAACCGTTCAGAGGATAATCCTTTAATGAGTTTTACACCACATATGCGCGGAGGCGGATAAAGCAAGCGCCGGCCCCCTCATAACACGCGTTGTAGCCGTGTGGGAGCTTCGGGGTTGTTTAGCCCCCCCCTCTCCCTCGGAGAAGATTTGTGTGTGCAGCGTGTTTTGTGGACCCCCCTCCCCCCCCACTCACACACACACACACACACACAACACACACACCACACAGCAGGTGTGGTGAGGAACCGGTGTTGTGGGATCCGTTTTCTTAGTAAGTAGTGTCCATACAGCGCGCCATGTCTTAATAGCGCTATAGATTCAGCTGGGAGTCGGATTTTACGCACTGATGGATTTTCACCCCCCCCCCCCCCCAACCCAATGAAAGATGTTCAAGTTGTGTTTTTGATTTATTTTGTATAAAAAAAAGGTACAATTTACATTACTTTTATAAAAAGTTTCAGCATAATTAAGTACAACATTACACTTTTGCAGAAGTTTCGAATTCCTGCAACTATACAAGATAAACTCGCGATAAGAGTTCACAAGGTTTCATTCTTTCCATTTTTACTTTTTTTTTTTTTATACAACGTCCAGTCCTTCATGTGCCAACGATTCTGACAAGACAAGACTAAACTTTTTACAGTAACTAACCATGTTGTCTTTTCTAGTCACGTTCGCACCCTTCGCAAAAAAAAATAAAAAAAGCGGAGACTTCAACGAGGAGAGGGACATGCCTGGGGGGGGGAATAATCCATGTGACAATAATCTCATTTTTTTCCCTCCCATTCTCGGGAATATAGCGCGTCTTCCATTCCAGAAATGGAACCACAAATAATAATTAAAAAAAAAAGTCTTAAGTTAAATAATAATGAAGTGTCCATACAGAAAACACATCACAATAGATTGTCCCCATAATAAGCAAAAGTCTCTTGATTTCAGCGTCAGCAGAAAAAGAACAAAAAAAAAATCCAGGCCTGGAGGACAGAGGTTGGAGAGGGGTAGGGGTGTAGAAGGGCTGTGGGTGAGGAGGGGGGGGGGGGTTGTCCTGCTCCCCAGGTCCCGTGCCTGTGTGTGTGTGTGTGTGTGTGTGTGTGTGTGTGTGTGTGTGTGTGTTTTGCGTCTTGACCAAACACCTGCAAAAGATTGAGAAAGAGAGGCGTGTTTAGAAAATGCAAACAGGGCAGAGATCCGGACAGACTGGCGCCAGGGAGGAAGCCGCAGTTTTTAACATTTAACCAAACACTCCCAATGCAGAGCAAACCCTGCTCCAGATGTACACAGAGAGGGAGAGAGGAGAGGGAGGAGGGGGGACGCACGCGCACACACTTTCCGCACAACTTCAACCTACAATCTGGGGAAGAATCAGCGTAATTGCCGCTCAGCTGGCGCCTACCCACTTCTTGTACCAATTATGTGCAGACATCGTAGTAGCAGTAATCCAAACAGCCATTATTTTTCCTGTTGCAGATGCTCTTCATTATAGACACAAGAGGGTATGATACAACCCCGACGACTGCTACTTACATACAGTAACACCAGCGGCCCCGCAGGGCATTTATTCTGACTTATGCCACCAAAGAGACATCATTCTTCCATTGGCAGGGCTCACCTTACTGACAGGGAGTCCTATGCTGTTCATATGTAGCCTATATACATTTTTTAGATACGGATCTGCTACAATATACATATAGTTTAAATGTGGATTAAACTCGAGCCAACTGTGCTCTGTTGGCCGCCCCAGTAACGCAGCGCCATTCTCATGCAACACACACTGGGAAAACATTACAGCAACGCGAGACGTCGACCACATGAGCGGGGCGAGGGGGGGGGGATTGGGTTAAATGGTGATCGGAGGAGCCCCGTCCTGCTCCGGCAGACTGGGAGACCGGCTGCGCGGCGGAGCCCCGAGGAGCCCCGGACAGAATGCAGCAGCAGACACGAGCGCAGCCGACTCACCCGCTTTTAACGATGCAGAGTCCGGCTGTCATCTGTCATCAGCGCTGATGGCAACTCCGGGGACTGAAAACAAACAAACAAACAAACAGACCAAATGTTAATTCTTTACGCGGCGTCCGATCGCACACAGCACTGTGTGGCTCATCTCAGTCTGTACCAAAAGAAGAAAGGAAGAAGAAAGAAACGTGCCATTTTCTTTTTCAACAAGCCATTTTGTGCGAGTTACGCATAGGCTTAGAAAAGGCGCACCGGTTATGCGCACAAATACAAAACCACTCTATACCTCCCACAACACACCAGGCTGTCGTCCCCTCCATCCCTCCTCCCCCCATTGCGACCCCTCGTTTAGCTACAGTGTAATTTACCTGTAATGACAAGATGCTGATGTCTGTGTTGAGGGTGGTCAGGGGGGTCCTGGATGGAGCCTGCCCCGGCCGCGCAGGGTGATGCAGGCTGGTTAGTGCGACACTCGAGTCCAGCGCGATCTGCAGGTCCAGGATGTAGTCGATGACATGCTGCAGGATTTCCATCTTGCTGACGTTCTTGTTCTGGGGGATGCTGGGCACCAGCTCCTTCAGCTTGGAGTAGCAGTCGTTCATGTTGTACAGCAGGCTGAGCGGGTCGTCCACCGGGGTCTTGCTCCGCGAGATTCCCAAGGAGTGCTCTGATATGTTCGCGTTGTTTTTCCGGAAGGACCGCACGGGGCTTATTGCTTTCATTTTTTTTCTCCTTCTGTTTAAGTTAGGCGAGAGAGCGCGGTCGCGTGTGTCGATATCTTGCTTCTTTTTATGTCCCGTATGTGCCAGACGATCAGCGATCAGACTGGAGAACCAAGCTGTCAGTGGGCTTTATATAGGCGGGAGGCAGGGCATGCGACAGAGGCGGGTCAGACGCTCTGATTGGACGAGGGGACTGTCGCTCAACGCCGTTTGGCTCTGCTACGGGCTCTTTGCGCTCAAGTCCCTCCCCTTCTCCGCCGCGTTACCAGTGGCAACGCATTCGGAAGGCGGAACCCAGAGGGCGCTTCAGCAGCTCCGGTGGGCAATTTGGAAAATTAAGCCCTTACCTGTTTCTGATCAGGAAAATTAATGATTTGCGTTGCTTTCAATTGACCGTGGACAATGCGTGAGCACGTGGCGATACCTGTGCGCGATTTTAATCTCGGTGGTTTTGTGATGAAAATCAAGCCAAAAATTGATTTCAAAATGAATATTTCCATGGAGAGAAAAATGATTTTGATGCGTGGATGCGTGGAGAGTTTATGCACGATGACTTATCCAACAGACAGAGAGCGATCACTCATCACACTACATTGAGTTTCCACGTGCAGGTTTGGAGGTGTGGACCAGTGATGACAGGTACCAGGCGCGTCTGATGATTCCCTAATTCGCTTCAGGCCGGACCGGTGTGAAGGCAACTTACTGAGACTGAATAACAAACTGAGGGGGAAATGTTTGGCTGAAATGCAACCAACAGGAAGCTCGCCAGACCAGCAATAAGAAATATATGTGTGTGTATTTATGCTGGCGGAAATAAAGCCTCTAAAGCTGGGAAAACTTAAAACAAATATATAATGTTTAGTCATAAGACTCACCATAACATTGGATATATTTCATTCAGCGGGAGCAGCAGTGTGTGTGTGTGTTCTGTCAAAAATGTTGACGATGCTCAGGATTTAAAAAAAAAAAACACATCCATTACCCGACAACTATTTATTGCGTTGTTGTTCACATTTCATCATTATGAAACACAATCCTCATCACGGGAAGGTTTTGTCTGCACTGTGTATCAGCGCGGCCGTGTAAGTGGCTGAGCACATCTAAACGCATCGGTTCCGGTCCCGTGCACTTCAGTGTTGATTGTCACCTGAGCATGTTGTGTGTCAAAGTTCACTTAGTCACGGCCTACAAATGTGGCTTTCATATCTGAGCACATGAAGAGGGGATTAACCGCTATTGACACTTTTACGTTTTGTGAATGAGCCATTTGTTTGTAGGAATTACACGCTTCACTCCTCTGCTGGAGGTTGGAGGGGAGAGGGAGGGGGGGTTTGATGCCGCACGAAATACCCCCGGGGGGCAGTTGTGGACTGTCGTGATTTACACGAATATTTCCCTTGATTTAAAAAAAAAAATATATATATATATATATATATATATATATATATATATATATATATATTGTTATAGAGGCAATATATATATATATATATATATATATATTGTTATAGAGGCAAAGGGTGGGTGGAGGAGAGTAAACCATTTTTAGGGTTTGTTTGAATTAATTTATGTTTGCAGAACAAAAAACACACAAACAAGACACAAAGTAACCGGTAATGAACAAAAGGGAGACAGTTCTGAGTGAAAAAAGGTCCAGCGAGCTGATTTCTGTGAGCAGAGGAGGTGCAGTCAGTAATAGTTGGCCAGTACAATAATCAATGCGATGATGAATTTGCGTCCTCGTCGCATGTTTTCCCACATTTCTCTCTAAATGCAGGAAAAACACCATCTGTGTCATCTTTTTACGCGGCGTTCTGTTCGCGCGGCCCGGACAGCTTCTCCTTCAGCTGTCCGGCGATCCCCGTTCTCTTGTGGATTTCTAATCTCATCTGAAAACTCCACATCTGGCGCGATGGGGACGTTTCCATTTCGCCCCACGTCCCCCCCCCGCCCCCCCGTCGTTCCCTACAGGCTGAGCACATTTCGCGCGGCGCCTCTGGACGATGAGCGATTCCTGACGGCCAAAGGTGATTAAATCGCGCAGAGAGCACGTCGGTGCAAAGCCGAGCGCACATCCAGCGGCCGCCGCCTCACCCCTTCTTCTTCTTCTATTTCTCCCCGTTTTCTCTCCTCCTCCTCCTCCTCCCTCTCGCTGCGCTTTTGGAGCAGACTCTCTGGCGCCGGTGCCGTGACGTCACCCTATTCACAGCAGCCCTCGAGCCAGCCCTCGCGGCGCCACCGAGGCGGTTTCCATGGAGACGGGGTTTCGGGGTTGTCAATCAGAAGTGCAGGTTCTCAGCTGATCAACCCCGGGACCGGGTCACGTTTGATTCCCCACTCGATTGGATTATGATCTGCTAGGAGGATACTATTATGGTAATATAGGAATGGGTGGCTGTAGTTTATATACTCCACAGATTCCCCAATAGGACATCTCACTGAGGGACAGTGGGACCTTCATGCATCAGTGAGGACAATCCAGTATGTAATGTCATTAAATGGTATGATGCATTGGAGTAATTGGGTACATCTTAATATCTTTTTAAATCGTTTTTTTTTCAAATGTCAAAAAAGATAAATGAGTCTACAGCTGTTTGTTGGCTCCGACCAATTTGAGTTTCCATGACTGTCCAGCTAAATGTATGCCTTCACCATATGAACCAAATGGCCACAAGTCGTTTCCACAAGTTCCCCTAAAGGTTCCTTTGCCCCCATCCGAGTCACGAAGGCATTCCTCGGTGGCTCGCCTCTCTACGTCCCCCTTCTCTCCCCCTTCTCCCCCCACTTTGGGTTCAGGAGATGAGGTTTAGACAACAAAGCGGAGCTGCCAGCCGGCTGCGGTGCGCCCTGCAGCTGCAGCCGGCGTCGGGCTGCTGCGCTGCGGTCAGAGACGTGTTGATCCTCCGCCCCTGCAGCTTCATCTTCATTCTTTCAGCGGATTCGAAATGGATTTTCGTTGTGTGTTTATGACCCGCATACAAAGAAACTTTTGCTTTTCTTCTAACCTGTCCTCAAGTCCCGACGCAGCGAAGGGTATTCAAATAAAAAGTTACTCTCCGTGCACCCAAAAATACTGTGTTTAAACGGCAAGGGGATTAATGTAATGACATAATGCGGAAAATAAAAGGTCAGAGGCTACACTAACCGTATAGGAAATGAAAAAAGAAGAAAAAAAAACCTTAATCGTTGAAGTGCCGAATCTGTTACGTCCCCTGTGTGCACAGCGAAGCGGTTCGTCATTCAAGTTAAACTCACTGCATTGATTCTAAACCGTTTACTCCCCAAAAACCTGCGTGTCAACACCGCCGCGTCTTACGCGAAAGAGCCGACGTCGAATTCAGCTCGTTTCGCAGTGCGCGTCCGTCCGAGTTACAACAGCCGCGCTGCGCCTTTTTCGGTGACTTCCTCTCCATCTGCGTCATGCGCCTCTCCACCGGGTCGCGCCTGGCGCGCGGAGGAGTGCACTCATCCAAGGGTGGCGCGGGGACTCCTGTAGCGGCTTCGGGGCGTGGTCTGAATGTTCTACACCCTCGATCTGCAGTGATGTAGTGAAGGGGGCTGTGATCTGCACGAGGTGAACGTGCAGCCAACAAACGGCCAGAGAAATCTACTGCAATTGCGTTAGAGCTCTTGCAATGCAGTGTAATGTCATAACTAAGAGCATCCTTATGATACAATCGGTTGCAATCATCAGTTTTTTCATGATAGTATTTTATTTTTCATGTTTAATAAAAATAATTTCCTGGTTGCCAAGATATCGTCCCGGTTTTATCCAACTAATATGCCAAAATCCATATATAAATATCCATATATAGAAATGACCAAAAAGGATAAAATCCCCTCATTTGAGAAGTTGTAACCCAAAAATAACCCCATTATCAATATAATAGTAGTAATTTCCTTATTATTTGAACACACATTTACGGTCTAATACAGACACAAAAGAGTTTAGCAGTCAGTCAACATTCATAACAACATTTTTGTGTAACAATGAATCTCTAATAATGAACAGATGTGTTTACTGGACACATTTTATGATTCATTCACAGATTCAGCATGTGTTCATGAATTCATAACGTGACTTTTTTCTTTGCGACAATGAAAATCTACTGCCTCCAGCATAGAAAGAGGCTCTGGTTCAATCCGTCTTTGGCCCTGCCTAAAAATACATCTGGCCTTGCCGCTGTCTTCCTCCCCGTCCACCTCGCACCTCTCCCCGGTCTCTCCTGTGGTCCAGATGGGACTTTCTCTGCTCTCTGAGCAGCAGCCACCGAGGCCTGGCTCCATTGTGAGGTGAGAGGCTGCAGCGGGCCCACGGGGGAAGGGAGGAAGCACCAGGAGCGATGGATGGGTGGACGGGAGAGATGAGGTGGCCAGATTGGACTGGGAGACAAAGGCACCATGGCTACCCGAGTACCTTCCAGGCTGGTCGTAGAGTGGCCACTCCACGCCTCCCTGGAGCCGGGCCCTCCCTCTGCTCCTCCACAGCACACAGCTGGCAGCAGGAGATGGGACGGGGAGGTACGGGCGGCGGATTACGCCATTCCCCGGCAACTATAGTCGTCCGAAGTTGTCGGGAATCAACTTTATTTATTTATTTTTTTCCACTCAGATCTTTTGGCCAGCGCGACAACCACCAACCAGTTGGCAGTGTGGAAAAGTTGGCTTCAGTTTAACTTTCGGGCAATATTGCCCGTTGGCATACAATCACACGCTAACATTGCTGTGTCGCCCACCTATCACGGCGGCACAGCTGTCACTGCAGCAAGCAGTCTGTACCCCAGTAATCAGATATCTGCATATCTACACTTTCACACCGGGAGTATGACAGTGTGGCTCTAGTCGAGCACACTGTCACAAGATTATGTTCGAAATCATATTCTTTTTTTTTTTTTCCTGCAGCGGGGAGATCAGAGATGGTAAGTTGCAGAAAATATATTAACATTAGAATTTGGTATTAATGAGCATCGAGTCAGCCGTCGATGTGCAACGGCGGCCTAATGTTCCTCCTCTGGGCCTTTTTGCTTGTCGTCTCGCTCGCAGATGCCTCGGTGAGCAAATGAATGGTGTGGATGTCGTTTGAATCCCACCGTGCAGGCGGTCAGCTTCCTCTATT